ATATGATACTAAAATAAAGCACATATAGAACATTCATATATGAGAATGTATGCTATTATAATAGTTATTAAAGACGCAGGAGGGACATGGAGAAGAGCCACATGTTCACAGTGCAGTTGCCTGTCCTGTGTACAACTTCAGGCTCGTGCCTGCCAGCAATGGCGGGGAAAGAATCGGCTTTTTTAATTGGAGTAAAAAAAGCTCTGACGAGTTATTGTAAAACAAATAACTCAAGCATGTCTGTCTGTCTTTGGATTAGAAATGTTCACATTTGAGAAGCTGAATCAGAAAAATTAGATTTTTGTTAAAAAAATGACTCAATAAATTCCAAATAGCTAATTTTATTATTTAGTTTAGTTAATTTAAATAATTTACAACTAATTGCTTAATTGCTTAATTGACTAATTGTTGCAGCCCTAATCTGAAACGTCCCAAATCATAAATGCTCATTGCCACAAAAGAGATGAGTGCAGGCACTTCCTCCTGAGTTTAAAAAACAAAAGCAAATGAAATATATGAACTGAAAATTAAGACCACTTACACTGTATACTTTACATACCTGTTACATACTGCATTATGGTGAGCAATTGACGGACTTCATTTGTTTCTTTACAGTGTGACTGGTGAACATGAAGATCTTCCAATCTTCATCATGGTGCACCTGGAAATCGAGGACAAATCACTATGGTACATGGTTAGGATACAAACATAATTTTAACTTGAAATCAGACATATTTTATGTGTTTTTTTAATCTGTTGCAATGATAATGTCTCAGAACATATGCAATTAGTGGCTCATAGATAATACCCTTTCAAAATCATTGGAAAAACAGGACAAATCCTGTTGAACAAAGTGTCTTGTTTAATATTTAGTCTTTTTTGTATTTTTATTCATTATCATCATTGATACAATGTCATTTCGATTATGTGTGTTCTGCTTGGTTTGACGGTTAAAATTAAGAACAAACTACAGGTGATGTAAAACAATACTGTACTTCATTACTATAACTATTACTATTAAATGTAATATTAATAATTCATAATTAATCATTAACATTGGTATTGATGAATTCAGACAGCTCGGACTGCTCAGAGTGGAACAACAGAAACTGAATCATATGTACAATATAATGGGCCACTGTGCGTTCAGTGTGCATCAGTTACACATCAAGTCTTTAAATAAAGTAGCGGCTGATAGAAGTCAGGTTTTAGTGTTTTATTGATCAGGGCAACAGATTGATGAATGAAATCAGCAAAGACATCATTAATTTGGATTTCAAGATTGTGTTGTTGAATGTTAAATGTCTTCTCTCATTGTGTCCTCTAACATCTTGGGACCATGTCAGAAATAAGTGTCACTTTTGTTTTTTGCGTCTGATAATCCATAAATAAAATCAATCAATCATTCAATCGACATTGTCAGTGGAGAGCATATTAATTAAAAGGTAAAATATACAGTTGGGCAGCCACAGCAGAGTAAAGTCAGTTTAAGGACTCACAGGATTTTAGATATTGTGGATGCTTCAATAATATCTGAATCCCGACTATAGGTAGGACATAAACAAATATGAATACAGTGAGAAAACCTTTGTGTGTAATGGGAAAAGTCCTAAATGCTGTCAAAAATTATTAGTAAGTAAGATTAAGTATGTTTCTTTAATGAGGACCTTTTATTGTTTAAAAGAGGATTACGTCCTCAGTTCAAACTGTGTTATATCTCCCAGCAGTAGATATTACAGTACATTCACTCATGTTAGGATGGTTAGACACTGCCTACCACACCAGTTCTGACAACATCAAAAAGGAGTAAAATTCAAATGTCACTGTTGGATTATAAGTGATTCCGGATATGAATTCCCACTCATACTAATACTGGGGACCGCTGGAGAAAGGCTGAAGGATGCACAGACTGCTATAATAGAATTGTTGAAGGAATATATATATATTTAAATGACTTAACTTGGTTTCCGTCTGTTCATTTCTATCATTTCTACTGCTCAGCCCTGTTACAACACTCATATCAGGTTCTCTCCCAGGTGGTGCCGTTGAATAAAATAAACCTTACTGGGACAAATATGATGTATTATATGATTATTATGAGCTTTCCATAATGACTGTTGATCAGCTGAACATTCTATAATCTGACCTGTTCAGTCTACAGAGACACCGCTCTGCTTCAATAATGATCTTTACTGGAAAACAAAGGTTACAGCAGTATTCTCTCATCACTATCTCTACTCTGTCTCTGTTAAAATACATTATTGTAGGAAGAAAAACATCAATATAAAAGGTGACCCCAAAAAAGTCCAACTCATCTGGATTCTGGTGGTTGGACCATCAGAGGACTCAGAGAGAAACTGTCAGAATATTAATAATATTAATGTGTGTATTATTCCCACTGAGGAAGGTATCAGTGCAGCTTCTGACTGTGACCACTGGAAGGCAGTCAATATTTTTATAGCAATGACAACAGTCACTACTGTGGACACAGACACACAGTGTACAAACACTGGGAGAGAACACTTTAGAAATCAACTCTAAACAGACTGACAGACATTATAATGAGTCACATTTAACAGGGACTCATATTGTTTGATGATTAATGTTAAGATTAATAAGGACAGAGACATCAAATAGAGAAACCAAAGGCAGTATAGTTAAAGAAGAATGTGATGAGAGGATAAAATCAGTTATGAATAAAGTTTGAATTGAAGAAAAGATTATTGATTATTAAAAGCAGTCAGCTGATGTGTAAAACATTATGGATCATAAATGATTAACTGCAGTGAGTAAATGATCTTCAGCTACTGCTCAGACCAACTCAACACTTCCTCATGTGTTTCAACATAAAAGCATCTTAATGTGAAGGCAGCGGGAGACTTTTACTGTGAAACACCCACAGGAAGTGCTGACAGTGCTTTGACTCGTCCCTCTGTATCTGCAGAGGACTGAAGAGCCAATCATAGGAGAGGACGGTAGGTCTCCATAGTAACGGTGTAATGTTTGGGGAGGGGCGGTTTGTTGTTTCCAGCTGAGGATAAAACCATTAAAGGGTCGGTAAGTTCCTGCTGGAAGATATTTTAGATTATTTTATTCTTTAACATGTTCTTCAGCTCAGCGTCCTGCTGCCACGAGCTGTTAAAGACTGTGGACACACAGTGTGGACCAGACCAGAACCAGGACTACTCTCATCCTTTAGTTATCAGTAGGCTAGAGGTGGAAGAAGTTCTTTTATTTCAGAAAAGCAGAAATACTTTGTTACTGCTTTCAAATGGACATTCAGTAGAAGTACAGAAGTATTATCAGCAAAAAGTACTTTATGAAAAGTAGAAGTACTCATTATGCAGAATGACTCCTTTCACAATGTGATATTTATTATAGATTATTAAATTATTCAGTTTTATCACTAATAAGAGCACTTTAATGCTCAATGTGGAGCAGATGATAGATACTGTGTATCCTGCGGGGTAGATTAGTACTATAGTACTGCATCATATCATCAGTTACCTCTGAGAGGTGGAGTCGAAACATAAAGTGTGTCAGAAAATGTAAATACTCGAGTAAAGTACAAGTATGTCACAATTGAACTGAGTATATGTACTTAGTTACTTTCTACTGATTAAACTAAAAATCACTTCGATAACACGTATTTAAAGTAAAAGTAGTAATACTTATATAATGTTTTCTATAAATAGATTAATACTGATACATTCATGTGTAAACAGCTTTTTACTGTTGTAGCTGCTCGAGGAGGAAAATTAAGCATTTAATGAACTGTTGGTAGTTCCCTCTGTAATAAACCAGCTCTCACATTAATGCAGTTAAACTACAATATTTCATGTATTTGACATATTTGGTATTTGTGATTTGTGTGCCATTTATTTTATTTTGCTCGTTATCAATTCATGATAAAATACTCACAGTTCACTTATTTATTATAATTATAATTATCACATCACAATTAAAAACACATGCACGTATTGGCACAGAGCCTTAGAGCGTATGTGGAACCCTTGCAGCATAACAGATCTCCCCTAGTGGGACAATAAAGATAACCTTGAACCAGTTAGCAGCTACTTTTAGCTCCAGAACTACATTCAGAGTTCTCTTCGAATTACTGAAATACTTTCAGTCCTTTGAATAACAAATATTTTCTGTTGGCACCGTTAGTGATGGCAGGGACCTCCAGACACGATCGAGAGATGGCAATGAATGCCAAGCGTCAGCTGTCAGAGTGTTCGGACCCAGTGGAGAGACTCCGACTGCAGTGTCTGGCCAGAGGATCGTCTGGTATCAAAGGTCTGGGCAGGTGAGCTCCACATACATCATCTACCTATCATCTCAAAGATCTGAAATGACACGATGCTTAAGAGAGACACAACTACAGACTGACTTAAAAAGCCCATTTCATGACGAAAACTTAGCCTTAATAATGAAAATATAGTGAGATAGAAAAAGTAATATTATGGGATAAAACAGCAAAAATTGAGATAAAAAGATAAAAAGCTTCTGAAGGACTCCCAAGAAGTAGTGTTCATTATTCACATCTGAAGATACCAAAAATCTCTTCTAACTGAATATTCAAGAGATATGGTGAGGTTTTATTAATGGCCACAAGGTGGAGCTACTGTTGTCAGAATGTATGACTAAAATGACTATAAAAAAAAAAACAAGAATGTAAATTATTGGATTTATGATATAAAGTTCATAGTAATAATATGATTACATGAATCAAATAGACAGTACAAACCTCTGCCCCGTATCTACAGCACTGACCACTGCTATGTATGTACTGCACTGACCTCTCCCTGTACCTATAGCGCTGACCAATGCCCTGTATCTACAACCCTGACCTATGCCCTGTATCTTCAGCACTGTCCTAACTTAGTATTGTTGTCAAATTGACTCACTTCACCAAACCTTATGAAATAGTGTTAATATTAATAATATGGATTCAATCAAATCTTTATTAATTTAATTTATTAATTCTCTGCACGAAAATAAATTCATTTAAATTTAATTAAATTAAATTAAGTCAAATTATTGGCCTTCACTAAAACCTATGAAACAAAGTTGATATTAATTTTAATATTATTATTGTATTTTCTCAACACTACTGATCTGAAGTAGTTTCTCTGATGCAGCTCCCTGTTGGGTGTACAGAGGAAAATATATATTTGAATCTTTAATTAAACAAACTTAGAATGGTTTTTAGTGCTGTACATTCAGTGTTTTTAGTGTGCACAGTGTGTACAGGAGCTTTGTGCTGATGGCGATGTGTCAGTTATGAGCTGAGGTTGCCGTCTTCCTGTGATATGTGAACTGTGCATGGTTCTGCACTGTGAGAGTTAACAGAGGCTGCAGGATGTTGTGATGTGTTTGGCTTCAATGTCACATAATTGTGTTGTTGTTGCTGATTTTGTGGTTTTGTTTGCTGATGCTCAGCTGGAGTATGTTCTCATAACCTGCAGCTACAGACACTGTCACTTCATCAATACACCTACTGCCTAACATTAGTAGTAAGTATTATACTAAGTTCAATTCAATCAACTTACTACTACTACTAATTTATACTTTTTACTCCACTACATCTACAGCTGGTATTAGAGGTTACAGATAGTATATAAAAGTATATAAAATTAATAAGATTAGCTCTGCTGCAGCAGCCTCAACAGTAAAATGCAGCTTACATGTAAATGCATCAATAATAATCTCAAAGAATAAAAAGAATAATACTGTATAATATATATATAATAATATAAAACTGAAAGACACCATGTTGGCTGTACATAAGTATGAGCTGTTCTATATGTATTTGATTCAATCAATAATCTATTATCAATGGCGTAATATCCCCTTTGTGCCTGCGTCAGCGTTGTGGTTGTCTGCCAGAAGCTGTCATACATTGACTGTTGATCCAGTCTGAAGCCACATTGTTACCATCCACTGTTTAGATCTTGGTGCTTTTTAACTCTAGATTTGAACCGGATGAAGGATTTTAGTCATCGGACGTCTGGATCTTAAGTTATCAGAGAAACAAGCTGAGCTAACGTTAGCAGCAGCTCGGCTCGCAGCCCCTCCGGGACGTCCTTTGTCTGTCCAACAGCGTGGGAGAAGCAGTGATTGTTAAGGTGGAACTGCTTTATTCAGTGTGTTTAAGGTGGAACTGCTTTATTCAGTGTGTTTAGTGGTTTTAATCAGCGGGTCTGTTTGTGTTGGAGAGGAGGAGACCTCTGTGGATCATTGGGCTCCCGGTAGAAACCTCCTGAACCATGAACACTGAAGGAATCCTAACCGGGAGAAGCTGACTGCAATGACGCCAATGGTGGTGAAGACAACAACTCCCATAATCCCACGCTGCTTCACATCATCATACATCTCTATTTATTTTTTTAATGTGAGAGACCCCCTAGCAGCCAAAATGACATATTGAACTTTACATTTTCTGATACATTTACAAAAGTAAAGAGTTTCAATACAGCACTTTTACTTGTAACACAATAAATTGTGGTATTAGCACTTCACACATCACTGACTGAACCTTTAACATACTTTACTTAGTATTTGCGTATTTGAGCTGTCTGCTGCTTTGAACTTGTAATACATTTATGTGACAGCTTACTTTACACTCTTATAACAGTGTTCGTAAAAAATATGAAATTATGTTTGTCCTGTCAGAACCTTCAAAATAATGGATGATGACAACAACCGCTCCCTGGACCTGAAGGAGTTTCTGAAGGGTCTGAATGACTACGGGATCCTGATTGAGAAACAAGAGGCCACGGCTCTCTTTCAGCACTTTGATCGTGACGGGAGTGGGACCATCGACTTCGATGAATTCCTCATCACTCTGAGGGTAAATACACAGACAAGTTGCTGTGCGGCCGAGGATTGCTTCATGTCTGTTAACTTCAGTGATTTGTAAACTGCAGCCACAGATGTCTAAGGCCCGGAAGGAGGTGGTCATGCAGGCGTTTCGGAAACTGGATAAGACAGGTGATGGGGTGATCACCGTTGAAGACCTGAGGGGGGTTTATAACCCCAAGTACCACCCCAAGTATCAGAACGGGGAATGGACAGAGGATCAAGTCTTCAGGAAGTTCTTGGACAGCTTTGATTCTCCGTATGACAAAGATGGAAAGGTAATTACCACTCCATGTTTGTCTGACATGCAGCTCAGAGCTTTTAATCTGGTACTTTAAAGGGGCAGTTTACCACAAAACCAAAAAATAAATTCTTCGTCTTACCTGTAGTGCTATTTACTATTTCCTCTAATAGTCGACTAAATCGCAGAAAGAAGTGTGCATCTACTCAAAAAATGTGACATTAATGCCTCGGCTGAGCTGTAACATTAGCTAGCTCACTTAAGTAACTTCCTCCTTCAAAACAAAACCATTGATGAAGCGTATTTGTTTCAAAATTCATTTAGAGCGGGTATGATGTCACTTGCAATCGTATGCCTGGCTGCTAAAACATATCTTACTGGCTCTCTTATTTGGACTCTTATTTGGAAAACTCGGATTTTAACTCAAACCTATTTGGGCTTGACTAGTCCTGGTCTTGGACTCGACAAAGGTGGTCCTGACTACAGCACTGTCTCTATGGCCAATGTCTCCACAACTCAGCAACTCACCTCAAAACAATCAAGATGGATAAATAGCTCTACAGGTAAGATTATGTATACAAGAATTTGTATTACTGATCTTAGGGTGGACTGTCCCTTTAAGAGCTGTGTTTCTGTGTCTGAAGGTCATTAAATGTCTCTCTGTTAGAAAACATCTACAAAGTTGTAATTATTGATATAAATGTATATTCATGCTGGTATTACTCTCTGAAGGTGACCCAGGAGGAATTTATGAATTATTATGCTGGTGTGAGTGCGTCCATCGATACTGATGTCTACTTTATTGTGATGATGAGAAATGCCTGGAAACTCTGACTTAGCGTCATTCTGGTAAACAAGTTCATCATTCGGGTGGTGGGAGGAGGGCGAGAGCGCAGAGGTTTCCATCTCACAGTGTTTGCATTTTCCCCACAGAGTGCGCACTGGTTCCTCTGGAAGTATTCTGCAGGGTATACTGTATGGTTACTTTTTCTGAAATATACCACAAAGAAAAGAATATCACATATTTGATATGTGAAATTAAACTAAAATTTGGACTCCATGAACCATACAAGATACCAACGTCAGTAGGACAGTAGTTTGGTGGATTTGAAGTTTCTCTCAGTTCAGGGACTTTACATGTAGCAGGTTGATGGACACCATAATAACACATATCATCCTTTTCAATTTCACTTCCTCCGACACTAACACACGACTCCCTCGCTGTTTCCATCCAAATATGAACCTCCTTTTGTTGCTGTAATAGATCTGTCTCTGAGGAACTGGCTTTGGACTTTTGTTTTAGACTTTTTGTTTAATTCCACAATAAGTGAAATTCATAATGACAGATATTTATCACAGACATGCAGTTTCTGTAGAAAGTTAAACAGTACAGGATCCCTTTTGTTACCAATTAGCTAATTCACTCATTATTTCTCCAAATTAGAGGTGGTGGCTGATCAATGTACACAATGTCTGTTGTTACGTTCATTTGGATGGAAACCAGCCGCTGTCTTATTCTGACCTCCTTTCTCTACATTTTTACTTGATAGTAAAACTCTTGACTCACACTTTCATCTCGTCTGATTCCCTCCGTCATCATGTTGAAAAAACAGTAAAATCTTTCCTCTGATCAACAGGTGACCAAAGAGGAGTTTGTCAACTATTACTGTGGAGTCAGCGCCTCCATTGACAGCGATGTCTACTTTATTCTTATGATGAAAAACGCCTGGAAGCTCTGAATCTAAATCAAAGGACACAAACTCCAAGCTATCATTTCCTGTGCTGAAAAGACATCACATAACATTTCAACAATCAGGATGCATTTATAATGAATTACCAGCATGTTGTGTGAAGTTGATAAGATCTAATTCTTTGCTACCAGCTGTAATTCATTCTGTGCTTTTATGAGTCAGAAAATAATTTCTCTAAATTCTGAATGTAGTAAGTACCATAGTTTATAGACTGACTTTTATCAGTTTGCATTAAAAGTTGAAAATTATCTCAATGTAAATGTGTTGTATTGTAGGGGAACACAATGCAGCAGTATGTTTTTATAACAATTCTTTCTTTTTTTATTGTACGTTAATACGAAACACCACAGGCTTTCTTTAAATAAAAAACATTGGTTAGACAAGTACAGACATTTTCATATAGTATTTACAGTATATTTTGGACAGTTGAGTGAAATAATACAATCAGATTTCTTAAAGAAAAAGCGTACATTCTGTGTATTTCTTTCAGCCGTTGCCATGAGGAAACATGAGGTGTAAGTTGTGTCAGATATATTTAGAAGCAGCATTGTGTGTTTGACGTCTCCACTAACAGAAACAGTCGGTCAGGTTGCTGCAGCAACGCTATGATCATAATGACTGTGGTTCAGTGCTGCTGGTCCGAGGAATGTGGACTGAGTGCTTTTTAACAATGAGGAGAGCCTGTCCCACAGCAGGATATTAGTTATTTAACAGTTTAAGTGCAGATATGAGCAGCTTTCTTTCAAAGGACCCCACTGGTGTTTTTGTATGTTTGAAGAAGAATTAAGAATTGTAGTAAATCTTTATACAGACAGGTGACAAATTAAAGGGAAAACCTGAATATATTAAACACACTGAATGTACGTTTCCATACAGGACACAAGAGAGGATCTAGGTGTCCTTTAGGTGGATCTAGGTGTCCATTCAGCGATTCTAGAGGTCCTCTAGGTAGTTGTTGTATTGTGGTTGTATAAATCATTTAGGGGTTCTAGTGGTCAATTAGGAGATACTAGGGATCATTTAGGTTGTCCTAGTTGTCAGTTATGAGATCTTTAAGGTGGTTCTAGTGGTCATTTAAGAGGTTCTAGTACTTATTGGGTTGTTCTTGTGGTCATTAAGAGATTTCTGTCATTTTGGAGGTTCTACTCATCCTTTTGGTTTTTCTGTTGTTGTTATGGTGCTTTATGCGATACTGCTGGTCATTTGGAGGTTCCACAGATTTCTTTAGGTAGTTTTGAGGTTCTTGAGGAGGTTCTAAAGGTCCTTAGTTGAAAACCTATTCTGGAGTAGTTGCATTAGGTAGCACTCTCCACCACCATCATTAAAACACCAAACGAGATAATATCTTTCAGAAGAATGGAGTTTGTCCCTCAAGTTCCAGATACTTAAAAGCTCTGTTAACGGAGAACTGAAGCTGTTTTGGAAACTTGTGGTGGCCAAACACCTCACTAACACACTTTAGATTAGGATTTAGTGATTTGTCACCCATCTGTATTAATCCAAAGCAAAATGGAAGTTCAGGCAGCCAACAGAATCCATTCATTCAACTATGGTTTGAAACTCAAAGGACTTTCTTGAAATACGTAATTCAATATAGTGAACACCAAGCCCAGCTAAAAGATAAACTGATCCTTTAACCAGTTCTAGGCTGTAGTATGTTATGGAAGTGGTATTCTGTGATTTGTAGTAAAACATACAGAAACACTGGTACGGTCTTCTAAGGTTCCTCTAACAACCAACTCTGGACAACCAGATGACTGTAGGAGGTATGTCAGTATAAAATGTAGAAGATATTATGAACATATATTTGATATAATCATACGGCATCAAAGCAACAAAATACATAAAAGCTACATTTAAATACCTCTGGGTTAATAGGCAACATTTATAAAACTGCTACAAGTTACACGTCGGACTCAAGTGAAATAGAAAAGTTAAAAAATCCTTCACTTTTACTTTTGTAATAATAAAAGCTATTTATCAAATTTCTGCTGCTGGACTTTGACCATTCTTTTTAAAAACTCCATCACAAGTTGGTCAACATTAAGGAAGTGACCCAATAAATTCCTACTGGAGATATTAAGGTGGTCATTTAAAATTAACTTTAAAAAAATAACACACCTAAAACATACCGGCTCTGTGGCAAATTGAGGGTTGTCGCTAGCACAGACAGGAAGCGCCACGCTGCAGACATTAACAACAGCAGGTGGCAGTCTTCTCATTTAGCGGGATGAAACGGGCAGTTGATGTACGTCGTTTGACACCGGTGTGTTTTAGCCTTGACAAATCATGTAATGTAAATCTTTGTCTTTTATTGGCTGTTCCTGTTCTGATCGTGCATGTGATAAATCCTTTGGTCACTTCTTCTCCTACATAGGAGTAAGTCTCTTTATAAATGTGTCTTATTCTTCACTTTTAGAGAAGAACATTTTTCACTCCTCAGTTAGTTCTTTAGGTCAATGGTTCCCAACCTTTTTATTGAACTGAGCAATATTCATTTGTAACCACTGATCACAGGTTATGGTCCTGGTGTGAATTTGACCTGTGAGCAGTTCAACTAAAATTTATTATTTTCCCCTTCTGAGATTGTTTGTTTGAAAGATATTTAAAGGCCTGAAAGGGTGGAAATGTCCAGCATTGCCCAGCCATGCTAGCATCTCTGTGAGGCTATACTAGACACAGTGGTGCTTTGAGTTGAATGCAAAGCAAAAGTTGAGATATTTCAGTATGGACTAAAATGGTGGACTTATCATTTTGTGGCCCCTCAGATTTTAATTTATTATTATGACTTCCAGGTTGGGAACCACTGATTTAAAGCATCCTGAAGTGTAATTCTCAGAAAAAGATTCTGGTCCTATATTCCTACCTCCTCCTGATCTACTTGATCTGATAGAAACTGGACATGGTGACATAGGCCTCCTCCTGCTGGCTCACTCCAAACAACTCAGCCTCATTTCCTTCACTGCTGCATCCACGCTGAGGTGCGTGAGGTGTCTCCCCAAACTGGAGATCCCTGATGGGGGATGGACTGGTGCTCTGAAGACTGTCTTCTCCATCTGAGGAGCTTCTGCTCAGCAGGGCAGACAACTCCAGCTCCTCTGTGCTGACACTGGTGGTGCTCCTGGAGCAGTCAGAGCTTTGTGTGGAGCAGGCATGATTCGACTGTGTGCTTTCAGCAGCAGGAGCACTAGCAGCAATCGAAGGCTCTGTTTCGTCACATGGCTGCTCCTCAGTTTTCTCCATTGGGTAAACTTTAAGAGCACTGAACACCTCAGGTTTAAAGTTCAATAGGAGACCCTGCAAAAACAGGAAAATGGAATAGGCAATGAATAATTACCGCTAAACAGTGGTTAAAGTTTGGTTGGTTTAGGCACAAAAACAACTTCATCATGCTTACAAGTACTGACTACTTTAAGGCCCAGTCACAACAGCATTTTAAATACCAAACAATGGTGGTGAAATAAATCAATTTCAGTGGAATCACTGAGATGAGTTGATTCACGATTCAAGTTCTTTTAGATAGTTTAGGAGGTATTTGAGGAAGATCTAGTAGGCCTTTGGAGTGGTGGTTCTAGCGACCACTGAGAAGGTTTTAAAGGTGGTGGCTGTGGTCCCTTAGATGGTTCAATTAGTAATTGAGGTGATACTAGAAATCATATAGGGGGTTCTCATGGATTGTATGGATTTGTTGGGTGCCCATCGAACAGAAACTAACATCTTGGGGTTCAGTATCTTGCTGACATGTGGCACCAGGAGCCGGGGATGGAACCCATAACCTTCCGATTAAGGAACGACCCACTCTGCCACTGAGCCACAGCCGCCCTGTGGACGGTGAGCTGCCTGTCTATACTCTTTACTAGGGGCCGTCCTCCAACAAACTTGAATGCACAACAGGCTCCATGGCTGGCCAGTTCGTACTGTCACAATAGTCCAAGGAATACAGGAGAAGGAACCAAATGCAGACTCAGAGGAGGTGCTTGATGAAGTTCAGTGATTTCACAGTCATTACAAAAAGGCGTATGGGATAGTCAGGCAAGCACAGGTCAAAACCAGATTAAACATTCAATACAGGCAAACAAATCCAAGGGAGCAGGCAGAAAATCCATAAAGAAAGTCAATAAATAGGTGAGGTCCAAGAAAAGAAAGTAAAAGTCCAAACACTGGAAACACTGGGTAAAAGGGCTAGGATTCTTTACTGACGAACAAATACTAACTGGCACTGAGACAAAGGAACACTGAAATTAAATACAGTAGTGAGGGGAGGATAATGAGACACAGGGTATAGAACAAAAACAAAACTTGCAGGAAACGCACAAAGGCAGGAAGTGACCACTGAGGAAGATCTAGTAGTTACTTAGGTAGTAGTTGTGGTCCTTGTGGTAAACAATGAGGATGTAATAGTCCTTTTTATGGTTCTAAGGAAGTACTAGAGGTCATTTAGGTGGTTGTGGTCACTGTGGAGGTACCAGGCATCTCTCTCTCTCTCTCTCTCTCTCTCTCTCTCTCTCTCTCTCTCTGTCTCTCACCCCAACTGGTTGAGGCAGACGACCACCCACCTAGAGCCGAAGGGTCTGTCCTAGGTTTCTGCCTCTTAACAGGCAGTTTTTCCTTGCCCCCGTCGCCAAGTGCTTGCTCATGGTGGTACTGTGGGGTCTCTGTAAATGTTATAAGGAGTTCGGTCTATACCTGCTCCATTTGAAAAGCATCCTGAGATAACTTCTGTTGTGAATTGGCGCTATACAAATAAAATTGAATTGAATTGAATTGAATTAAGGTGGTTCTTGCGGCCCTTTAGGTGAGTCTAATAGTCATTAGTTTTGTTGATTCTTTATACGTCTTCCACCGTTGCTTCCAATAGACGTTGATTCGTAATAGCAATACCACTAGAGGGAGCTGAATGTTATTTAGTGAGGACAGTGTCAAAGTAAAATGACTCACTTTATTTGGTTTGCAGATCTGCACCAGTGTGTGTTTGGGGTGCGGGATGCTTGGCCACATGTAGGTAAATATTCTGTGAAGGAAAGAGAAAATAAATATTTATCTATGAAACATAGATCTAAATTCACTTTTCTGACAAGAAAGAAGAGATCTCGTACTTGTTTTTCCAGAAGAAAACAACACTGAAAGTCAGCACAACAAGAAGGACAAGACACACAATCAGTGTGTACGTCTCCTGCCTTTCATCTGTCTCTTTTTTGACTTTATCCCCTGAACAAAGAGAGAGGACCAAGTTAAATAAAGTCATTATTCTTGTCTGTCATTTGAAGAAGCAAAATGTGTACAAGCTGACTTGCTCCTACCAGCAGGTGTAAAGAAACTGAAAGTTTCACTCCAGTCACTCCAGGTACCCGCCAGGAACAACTGCGGTATCGCTCGTACTTTAACATGATATTCTGTGTTCTGTTGGAGGTGCTCCATGTCAATCTTCATCTCTAATGATGAGATGTTTAGAATCTGTTGTAAAACAGGAAAAACTGTCAATAATATCATTGTGGTACGGAAGCGTATTGCATTCACTTGAGAAAAATTACTTACTGAGTTATTATCTCACAGTGCTGAGATAGGTTTTCAGGAAAAACTTCTGCTATTCATTAGAATAGAAGAGTAACTGGAGCTCACAGCTGAGTATTTTTTTTAATGAAAACTCATCTCAGAATTATGATGATTATTATCGTTAACAAATATTTTTTCTCAAGTGAATGCGTTACATTCCCATATAGCTGAGCATTGTCAAAGGTAGAAATAATATCTGAAGCAACACAAATCAGATAATGTTACCTTTGTGCTGCCTGCAGTCCAGATGTGCAGCTGGAAGAGTTGATTTTCTTTTTTCAGGAATTCTCTGTGGTATGGAGTCCGAATATAAATGACAGCCTGGTTAGACTCCTGGTTGAAAGTAACGTTCCACACCTCAGGACTTCTCGGTTTAACTGCAGGGATACAACAAAGAACCAAAATACAACAGTGAAGGTGACAGTAACAGGTCAAACCTGTAGTTTTAAACTGGTTATTAAACAATCTCAATTTAATATTGATGCCTCTACTGAATACTGAACTCTTTATTCTCATCAGGAGGCAAACCATCAGTGAATGGCAGGTTGCAGAGTTCTAATATGAAGGGTCTGGAAGATGTTAATCAGTGATAGGGAAATAGTTTCCTATAGTAATCAGTAGTATGAAACTAAAAGTGACAGTATAACCTAAAAAATGCCTCCTACTGTCCTTACCAAATGTACTCCATAATTCAATCCAATTTTTGATTTAAAGGAAAACATCTGAATTAAAATAAAGTAAATAAATACTGGTGCTTCTATATGACCAACATAAAGAAACAAGACATTCACAAGAATGGGACAGATGGACAGACAACATGAAAATATAATGCCTACGGCCACAGCTGTCATTGGTGCAGAGGCCTAAAAATTAAAAAGAGGGCAGGGAAACTGGCTCATATTAAGATTAAAAGTAGCATAGATGATGCAGATACCAAGTCCTGATCTGGTACTTGTATTTTAAGTAAAGTACATTAAAGTTATTAAAATCAATTCAGTGTATATTACTGACAATTGAATAGCTCTGCAGTGCATCAAGAAAAAAGTGCCGTTCCTTAACCTTTTTTTTTTTTTTTTTTACACAATAAATGATAAAATAAACGCTCTGTAATGTTTTTAGTCTTTGTCGCTGTCTGGAAGGAGTTTCTCTCTCCAGTGTTTGGTGCTTTGGTGCAGGCTTTGCCTGCGTTACCTGAATGAACTGTCTGTATTCTGTATGTATTTTGAGTGTTTATTTTAATGAATTACTTATTGGCTTTTTATTTGCTTTTCTTGCACTTGCAGTTGCATGTTGAGTGTGACTGTGTCGGCTCTCTACCGCTCTCTCTCCTCCTGCTCTTGCTCTCACATTGACACAGAGCTCAGACTGGAGGAAAGAAACTGCAGAGAGAGCTGACAATGGCTGTATCCTGCATGAAAGCTTTGTGAGTAAAACAGCTGTGTGATAGTTGGCATGAAACAAAAGATCGTTTGTTAATAAAATGGCCAGTTTTGTCCAATTATCTTTGGTTTCGTTTCAGTAGTAGTGGGAATTGGCTTCAAAGCAGAGTTACTGTTTCATTTAACCGAGCAAAAGAAACTCAGTAGCCCCGTCTGCAAAAAACATCTTTCTGCCCTGTATGATTGTGCTTATATTCCATTGCTAGATATGCAAATGTAGGTTTAATTGCTAGACTCTGAACACTTTCCTCTGCAGTCAGGATTTACCTATTTTCTTCAGGTCGATCATTGCTGTAACCTTGCCTCCTCTCTTTAAGTGGGCCGTCACACTGAAATGATTCACAGGATTCAGATTTTGGGAACTGACTGTGTCCCCGAAATCCTCCACACACTTTTTCTGATCTGGTTCACTCCAGTCAGTGTAACTGTAAATAGAGAAACAGATTTATCTCATTGATTGAACTTCCTTTGAACACTGTTAATGTGCTATCTAGGAACAGATTTTACCACACTGTCATCTTCTCTATGCCATCTGCCTCGTCATCTTCATCATCCTCATTGTAGTTCTTGCCTCCGACCAGTTCACAGGTCAGACTGCTTTGCTCTGTCATGATGTGAGAGGTGCAGCTGAGTCTGGGCTCTGAGCAGAAACACAAAAAACTGTTTCTATTAATCCTGAGGAAATCAAGCCATCCATTGTTTCCTGCTCATCAGGGCCCTGGTCCTGGTGGCAGCAGGATCAGTAAAGTGGTATAAAAGCCAACATTTCTAGCTCCTCCTGGAGGATCCCCAGGTGTTCCAAGGCCAGATTAGATGTATAATCTCTCCAGCGTGTTCAAGGTCTACCTCAGGATCTACTTGACTTCCAAAAACTTTCAGATGAATACCATAAATAAAATAATATTTCCCAGCCTTATACATATGGGCTTAGCAGGTCAGAGATTTACCTTGGAGCTAGTCCATTTAATGTTTTGAACTGTATTGTGCAAGCAATGGGAAGCCAATGACGGGACGTTGAAACCAATTTTGTTTTGATTTCCAGTTAAAAACCAAGCAGCTGTGCAGAATATAGACATAGAGAGATACAATAATCCAGAAGGGTGGAAATAAAGGTATGAAGAACTTCCTTCTGGTCAACACCTAACAAAATGATTTCATTGCTGATGCTAAAACAAGACTGAATAACTGCGAGTTCTTGGTTTTCAAAGTTCAGTTCTTCATCAGAAAACACTCCAACATTTCTGACAGAAGGCTTTATCTTGTCATTAATTTCAATTTCTGTCAGACTGAATGCGGCAAATGTAATTCTCAGTCTCATTAAGCTACAAGACATCCAACACTTAAAGGACCAGTGTGTACGATTTAGTGGCATCCAGTGATGAGGTTGCAGATTGCAACACCCTCACCACACCTGCCCCTTCTAAGCATAGGAGAAACAACCCCTTAAAACTGGGCAAAAAGGACATGTATCTGGAAAGATGCAATGGTATACACATTTATGGATGTTTATGTATATATCATTTCATATAAAAATAAAATCAGTCAAAGACCAAGGCTGTAATATTCTACATACTGTCAGTATACACACATATCACCACCTTGAATAGAACTGTATTTTTGCGCATTTATTCCACTGCTGAAAAAAAGTGAATGTCTCTATCTAGATTCAGGGTTTAGTTTGTCTGTTCTGGGCCACTGTAGAAACATGGCGGACTCCACCAGAAGAGGACCTGCTTCCCCCTGTAGATAAAAACATCTCATTCTAAGGTAAAAACACACAACAATTCATATTTTCAGCTGATTATACACTAATGAAAACATACCTCTGAATATTATATTAAATTTCTGACAATCGATCCTCCTAAATGTTACTCAGTGGACCTTTAATATCATCTAAGCAGTCCTTTATGGGCAACCAGGCTGGAAGAATCAGTAGGGTTGACAGGAAGATATGATAAACTATCATCTGCATAAAAATGAAACCTCTCTAAAAATTACATGACCGAAGGTGAGCATGTAAATTAAGAGAAGTGTAGGGCCCAGAATTGAGCCTTGAGGTACACCAGAAGAAAGTTTTGTAGATGAAGTTCAACAGGAAAATTTCTGTTAGAAACTTTTCCTCTAGCACCACTAGTGTCTCAAGCAAGGCTGCAGATAAGTATTATTTTTATTATCCATTAATCCGTCAGTTATTTTTTACAATTAATCGACTGTGTCCAAAATCCAAGGTAATTTAATTTAAAATGATAAAAAAAAACAACAATCAGAAGTAGGAAATAGTGTATGTTTGACATTCCTCAAAAAGACATTATTCATCAATTATTGTCGATTCATTTCGATTATCATGCAGTTTGGTTCAGATATTCTAGGTGTGAACTTTGATGATCTCTTAACTCTATCACCACCATCAGGTCAACATTCCCATCAGCCTCCGCTCTACGCTAACTGATAATTAGCACTGATGAGATCAATGATAATGTTTTAACTGAAAAACTACAATCTGTGCCAAAAAGATGAAAAAGTACTTGATGCCTTAATGCTCAGAAGAAAAAAAAGACTGTCTGAAGTCTTTCACCAAACCTACCTATGACATCATAAACTGTAAAACTGTGATTCTCATATGATCAAATCTCCTGATATGAGCTGTCAGATATTTGCACCACATCTGGAAAATGTACATTTACATTTACGGTATCAGGATCAAAAACACTTGCAATGTGCAGTAATAAACATTAAAACATATTCTTATATCTGCTCACAGTAGTTTTTTAATTAAATCTTAAATCTTTCTTTTTGAATTGATTTTGAAAATATTCCTAAATAATATTTGTTCAGTGGCATAACCTTCGAGAGAAGTTTCACAGCCCACATTGCATATGAAAGATTGATTTATTAAAAAAAATAGAAATATATTGTTTTAATCACTTGCTCTATCCTGTTTATCTGATTGTTGCGACATTTTAAATGATCTTCTCACCCGTGTCAGTTTCTTCCTCTCCACTCTGAGCCTGAGTTACAGCTGGCAGAAGCAGTAGCAGCCACACGGTGATCCAGCAGCCAGACGGCATCTCCTCGTCGAGTCACCTCGCAGCTGCACAGACAAACTGACTCGTTCTTCAGCAGACTCATAATGCTGCATTCTCACCAGCTGAGAGCTTTTCTTGTCAGCCGGCAGGGAGAGGGGAAGAAGGAGTGGCGAGTTTACAGAGAAAGGGGGAGGGGGGTTGCTTACAGGATGTTCTGTAAATCAGAAAACATCTCTTTGTTCAGCAGACAGCAGGTTCTATGCAGTAAGAAGATGAATTATTGGACAGTTAGTTCTGAATACAGAGAAGATAAAAGGCCTCCCATTTGTCCATCAGTCTGACGTCATTCAGTCACAGTTCTACTGCACTTTGTTATTGACCTCTATTAAAGTTCAAATCACCCAAACGGGAGAAATGTATATTTTATATTTTGAGTTTCAGGATGACTAGTGACAGCTTCGTCTATCTCTAATCCATCAGAATATACAGAGCCATACACACACACAGACACACACACACACACCATTCAATTGAAACAGACATTCACACCACTCTCAGCTGAAACAAACTTTCCCCTGGGGTTTGTGTCTTTTGAAACCAAAAGTGAATGTTTATCTATTGACAGAAATGTAATGTAATATTGAGGTATGTTCTTGTACATAACCCACAAATATTTTCCTAAACCTATATAGCGCCTGAAAAGTACCAGCACTTTTTGACGACACAAGACTTTTTGTTGCATACAACACCTCCTGGTACGTACTCTTAAACACCTACACAACGCTTGACTTTTCCTGCGAAGTCCCATCCTACTGTGCATCTGATTGGCTCGTGTTTGTTGCCTTTGTTGTTTTGGTTGGTTAGGTTTTAAGCATAAGGAGTGAAATGGTCAGGGTTTGTGGCAGCAGAGTGGACCAATATACGCAAAAATTTATGTCAGCGTAACTGCATCTTAAAACTGAGTAAACAGCGCTGGAAATTGGTTTCGACAAGCACCAAAACAATTAGGGTTATCTCGTGGTTAAAGCTGTGCTGAATCAAGCTACTGGCACATTTTGTGTCCAACTCAGGCACTGAACCTAAACAAGTAGTTTTGGTGCCTAAACCTAACCACACTGTGACAACAGTTGACAGGAAGATATAATAATGAATCATCTGTGTAAAAAAGAAACATTCAATTCAATTCAATTCAATTGTATTTGTATAGCGCCAATTCATAACAGAAGTTATCTTAGGACACTTTTCAAATAGAGCTGGTCTAGACCAAACTCCTTATAACATTATTTACAGAGACCCAACAGTACCACCATGAGCAAGCACTTGGCGACAAGGGCAAGGACAAGGCATGGTTCAGGACTCACCTGATCCAGCCCTAACTATAAGCTTTATCAAAGAGGAATGTCTTAAGCCTACTCTTGAATGTGGTGAGGGTGTCTGCCTCCCGAACCACAAATGGAAGCTGATTCCACAGGAGAGGAGCTTGGTAACTGAAGGCTCTGGCTCCTGTTCTACTTTTAGAGAAAATAGGAACCCAGCATTCAGAGAACGTAGTGTTCTAGAGGGGTAATAGGGTACTATGAGCTCTTTAAGCCATGAAGAGTTTTATAGGTGAGGAGGAGAATTTTAAATTCTATTCTAAATTTTACAGGGAGTCAGTGCAGAGAAGCTAGTACAGGAGAGATGTGATCTCTTTTTCTAGTTCCTGTCAGTACTCGTGCTGCAGCGTTTTGAATTAATCGGAGCGTTTTAATGGACTTATTGGGGCAACCTGATAATAATAAAATAAAAAACAAAAAGAGTTGCAGTAATCCAGCCTAGAAGTAACAAATGCATGGATTAGTTTTTCTGCATCCGTCCGTGATAGGATGTGTCTAATTTTTGTAATATTACGTAAATGAAAGAAGGCAGTCCTAGAGGTCTGCTTCATGTGGGAATTAAATGACAAATCCTGTCAAAGATAACTCCAAGATTCCTGACAGTGGTGCTAGAGGCCAAGGTAATGCCATCTAGAGTAACTATATCTTTAGACAGTGAGTCTAGATTTTTGGGGCCAAGTACAAGGATTTCGTTTTTTTCTGAGTTTAACATCAGAAAATTGCAGGTCATCCAGGATTTTATGTCCTTAAGACATGTTTGTAATTTAGATAATTGATTAATTTCATCAGGCTTGATTGATAGATATAACTGCGTATCATCTGCATAACAGTGAAAGTTAATGGAGTGATTTCTAATAATGTTACCTAAAGGGAGCATATACAAATTAAATAGTATTGGTCCAAGTACAGAACCTTGTGGAACTCCATGACTAACTGTACTATTTATTGAAGATTCATCGTTAACATGTACAAACTGAACAATCTGATAAATATGACTTAAACCAGCTTAGTGCGGTTCCTTTAATGCCAATTTGATGCTCAAGTCTCTGTAAAAGAATATCATGGTCAATGGTGTCAAGATCTAATAATACAAGTACAGAGACAATGTCCATTGTCGGAAGCAATCAGAAGGTCATTATTAACTTTAACCAGAGCTGTCTCTGTGCTGTGATGAACTCTAAATCCTGACTGAAAATCCTCAAATAAACTATTGTTATGTAAAAAGTCACACAACTCTTTGGCGACTACTTTCTCCAGAATCTTAGAGAGGAAGGGGAGGTTAGAAATCGGTCTATAATTGGCTAAAACCCCTGGGTCAAGAGTGGACTTTTTAAGAAGGGGTTTAATTACAGCTATTTTAAAGGACTGTGGTACATATCCTGATAATAAAGAAAGATTAATCATATCCAGTAAAGAAGTGCCAATTAAGGGAACAACTTCTTTAAGCAGCCTAGTTGTGATCGGGTCTAATAGACAGGTTGATGGCTTCGATGAAGAAATGATTGAAGTTAACTGATGAAGATCGATAGCAGAAAAACAGTCTAAATATATAGCTGAGTTTACATTAGTTAAAGTTCCTGAACTTGGAGAGCCACTGATAACTGCTGATGGCAGTTGGTGATTAATTTTTTCTCTAATAGTAATAATTTTATTATAAAAGAAGCTCATAAAGTCGTTGCTGCTTAAGTTTATGGGGATATGTGGCTCAATAGAGCTGTGGCTCTCTGACATGTGTCTACAAATGATGTGACCAAAGGGAATCAGTCAGATGAGAGAGAACTGAGCCCTGAGGAATGAGGAGCAGCTGCAGATAGCCATTAGTTTACAGATGAGTCTAATCAAATACATATTAAATACGATTTCAACTAGTAGATCCCTAAATGTTACGCATTGGACCTTTAAAAGTGGCGTTCTTTTTACAAGCCATGAGATCATGTTACCCTGCTACACAAGAGCCACATTGGACTGAGACTGTATCTGTGGGGGGAAAGGGAATTACTGGGCACAGAATTGTTTGATCACACTGACATTGTTGAATGCCACAAATCGTGGGTTCAGCCAAAGGGACACTGGCATCCTGTTGTCAATGCTGGAGTCCAGATAGGCAGTGAAGAGTCAGATGATGGTGTGTGTCAGCATTAAACTGTTGGTGTGCCTGCATACAAAAACAGATAGCTAATATGATATGGAACGATGTTCAAAACATAGTATGAGAAAAATATAACTAACTTTAAATGAAGAGCTGTACAG